CGTTTGTGTCTCGGGTTTCGTGATCGTGAGAAACTATTGCTAACCTGGCGAGAGTTTCGCCAGAAAAACTGCCTTTTTATTATGGTTGTAGGAATTAATTATGTATTGTGTAAATTGAAAGTTTACCTCATGATTTAAGAGGTTTGCAGTGCTCTCTCCAGGATTCAAACGTTGTGGTGGTGTCGGCGCAATGCTGCTCTGAGACGCTTGCCAGACTCTGCCTCGCTCAAAATCATTATCGCCATGCTTGATTTCTGCAACATTTACATTATGATTTCCACATCTATTGTTCTATGAGATGCGTCCTCAAGTTTAGTTGGGTCGGCATGTACTCATTGAAAGTGTTGGTTTATTTACGTAATCCACTGATCACGCCAATGCGGAGTTAAAAATATGTCGCTACTCGGAGAGCTTGCCCAGAACGCTACATGTCCCAAATAAACGCACCGGTACGTTTATTTTTTTCCCTGAAAAATTCCACCCGGTAATTCTTATTTGGGACGGTACGTTTATTCATTTTTCTAAATCGGGCAAATTAAAAAAAAATCATGCCTTTTTTCCCCATGAAAAACGAGGCCAAAAGATCGCACTAAAACATCGGTAAATATCTTCAGTGTTGCTTTCACCATGGAGGTAATGCTTTCACCATGAGGTCGCTGAACTGTCATTAACGTATTTAAATGTTTATGGTAATTTGAGCACATGGGCACCATCCAGCATTTTGATTGGTTGATTAGCGACTTGACCTATCTGGTCAATAAACACACCTCGTCAGCATGGATAACATGGCGGATATCGTATGGCATGGAGCATTAGCATGTAATCGAAATCATTTGCTTACGATAAAACTAAGTTGAATTTCATAACAATTCAACAAATTTATTTTTTGTACGTTAATATAATCACCACTGAGTACTAATCAACAATTGCAACACTTCTAAAACAAGTAAGCTGCCGTACGTGATCATTTGCTACTAACAAAAAAATAATGCATATTAAATATAGTGAATATTTTTTGTTGTCATGTGAACAGTTTTTTTGATTGACTAATTTTCCAACATTTCATGACGCCCATTGTAGAATCAAATTAAGGCCTTTCACTCCTCTTGACGCCTACTTAAAAGATTATACGGCATCTTGCTTTTCGCCAGCCACGAAGGTCACACTAGTAGATGATCTTGATCGTGA